ACGTAACTAAATAAAACTAAAACTAAACTAAACTAACGTAACGTAACGTAAACGTAAACTAAACGTAACGACGTAGTAGTAGTCGTCTCTCTCTCTCTCTCTCTCTCTCTCTCTCTCTCTCTCTCTCTATATATATATATATATATATATATATATATATATATATGTGAAAGATAAGAAGACAGGGTATTATTTGTCCATCCGATGATAGGAGGGTACATTTCTAGTCCCTCTCAAGGTTGGATCATTGTATCATATTTTTCTTTCCACAGCCTAGTTTGACACTTTGACCTACTTTATGGAAGTCATCTAAATACTCTGAGACATTTGTTGTTTTACATGACATGATAAACAGTTGGGTGAAACCAAAATAGTCAAGCAAACAAAAACTACATGAAATCTTAGGGCCTGATGCACCAAAGAGTTTATATTACAAAATGCACCAAATACAAATTATTAAATTGACCAAACACAAACTACATGAAATCCTTGGGCATGATGCACCGAATAGCGTACATCACAAAACGCACCAACAACACATTATTAAAATCACTAGAGCAATTCTCCGTCCTTCATCTCACCAAAATAGAACTCCCTCTAATGTTGTATTACACCAATGGAAGTCCTTATAAAAATATTACTGCAATCTAATGACTCCCAGTTCCATCCAGGTGCCTTCTTCCAACAAGGAACATCTGAGCACCACCATTGGAGAAATGTTAAGCAAGAAGAGAAGATTGTTATCTTAGAGAAAAATCACACTCAGAACAATGAATGCTTTTGTGGCAGTGACCATAATCCCAGTCATCTAAACTAGAGAAAATCATGAAATCGTTTATATGGAAATATATAATTTATGAAGTTAAGAACCAATGAACCTTATAAACCTCAGATCATTTACTTCTATAGACCTTTTTGGCAATTTTAAAACACTAATATGATTATACATATATAGAGCAATGGTCAAGGATAGCCATGACACAAACATGCACTCAGACTTGTGTTAGTGAGCAAGCAACACTATTACGAATATATCCTAGAAACATAATGCCACCAGAGAAAACAAATAAAAAATCAATCAAAGCCTCTTCCTGCCATTCAGCCATATGAAATAAAAGGAAGACCCATATTCCTTAAAAGCTTCTCAGTGGAGCTTTTGTAGACTTATCGTTGGCACTTCTTTCTTCAAAAGTAGCTTCCACAATTAATGAAAACTTGGACCTTTATCTCCAAACTAAACACAATGTTAACCATCAATTGGAAGCCTTTCAAAGCCATAGCATTCAAAGCTATTGTTGCTTGATGAAACCATCTTGATAGTGGACCACAGCCTTATTGAATCATGGTTTGCTTTTTTTAACTTTCATCAGTGACACCTTTGAGATCAGGGATAAATATATATCCACAGGGCACTTTAGGACATCCCTATGTAAATATGAGACCATCAAAACCACACACAACCGCATCAACATCTTCCACTTTAAACCTTTGAATGAGCAATATCATCTCAAATTTCTAGTTCATGAATGCATAACATGACATCCATCCATTTTAACCTTTTGCTAGTGCTTCTCAGCAGTGTCTCCATCTTGACAACATTCAAGTCTTTCCACATCCAGTTACATTTGTAGAGTTGTTCATACAATGTTGCTCTCCCTTGACATCCTACAGGTTATGTATCTACGTTTTATTTGTCTTTCATGGCGTAAAACATCCATACTTCCGACATATATCCATCACTTGTAGTAGAACACAAGGACAACAATGACAAGAATCACAATCCCAAAACAACAAAAACAAAAAGGAAGAATGCGTGCTTATAAGACCTGAAATGCACACAAGTATCATTTCACTACTTATTAAGTACAGTTTTTTAGAAAGCTAAACCACTGGAAGCAGCATAATTAATGAAAGATACAGATGTGTATCAGGGGTGAGCAAAAGAAGTGGATGCAATCATTGAACCCAAACAGAAAGGACACAAGCATTGGCAGCGATATTACTTGTGCATGTGTACAAAGTTAGCGAGAAATAATATACATGAAGACACACACAAACACACATAGCAATAAGTTGCCTATTGGAATTTAAGCATTTTGGTGAGAGAACAGCCATGCATGTGCTAAAGAAGAGTAATTTGGCCATTTGCATACACACAAATTTTTTGCAGGAGCCCACCTAGTGGGCCTAAGATCACACTCAACATAAGCAATGCCCCCATTCTTGGCTCCTCACTACATTCTTCAGCTGTCATCATGCTCAACAACTCCTATGCAAACAGTCCCATGCCAAGTGACTCATCAAACAAATAAACGACTTCAGTTCCTACTTGCTTTGTTAGGGCTTCAACGTGATTTCTATGTCCACTGCATTAGCCTAACATCTCCACCCTTGCCGCACTTCTCTCTCCTGTCAGCACCAGAATTCTAACTGCTCAATCTCAAGTATTTGAAAGTCTGACAAACAGTCCACCAGCTTCAATGTCGTACTTAGATCCTACATATTATGCTTAGACGCCTATAACCTCCTTAATGAAGCAAAAAAATCTTGTTGCCTTCAGACACTTCCGGCCAACATCAGTGCCAAACATCATTAAGTATTCTGGACCCGTAAGGCTTAACTCAATGACTGAACAATGGGAGGAGTTTTCAACAACTTGATGCCTCACCTTGCATAACAAATGAACTCATTGTCGTAAATGTTTGACAGCTCACGATGTTTGGATAGTTCATGAGTGCTGAAAATGAAACACAAGCTAGCAGTAGTCCCTCCCTCCCCTGTGTGAGTGTGTGCGTGTGTTGCATGTTAACTTGGGACAGGCAGGATTGGAACTCTTGACATAATGTTGTAGCTCCGCCTGCCCCAATCATATCAAGAGCCCCTATCCCGTCTTGCATGCGTCAGCTGCATGGGACCCCATCATGGTATAGCTCTAGATACTCTTTTTAGACATATTTTGATAATATTAGAAGACATATAGTCACACGAAGGGTATGGCCCCTGATAGAGCGGAATGGCGGAACAGGATTTGCGTAGTCGGCCCCGAATAGTTGGGATAAGGCTCGGATAATGATGATGATACTAAGAATACATATTAGAATATGTTCTAACAAATCTCTACACATCTTGTGTGTTTGACTACATATGGTGCACATGCATCCTCCCATTACACCTAATTGGCTTCTTTGCGCAATTTATATGTACATCAGTCATACAAGGATGCAGCAACCTTGCAACTTCATTGGACAGAGGTTCCATGAAATGATATCACAAGTACGAAATATCATACACAGGAGGTCATGCATTTGTCTCAAGGAAAACACAATTGGATGCCAGAGGGGAACATAAGACTCACCTTAATCCAAATGGTTCTCTTGAGAGATAAAAGTGAGGTTGGTTGCAATTGTGTACCATCATTAAGACATAATGATTTTGCATTCACCTTTGAATTTTGAACTAATTACAAAGATGACTGAAGTGGAATGACTATACTTAAGGAAAACATTAATTAACAGGTCTGGATGAAAGTAAGGAGTGTACATCTTCATGGCAATATCAAGGAGAAGATATATGCACTTCTTCCTAAGACGAAATTGGTGATCCTTGGCAAGACTGGTATGGGTTCAAAGTCTCAAACAAGTACAATGAGCTTGGTCTGTGAACTGCTGAAACATAGTTACTTGTTTTGTTACCAGGATCTCCAAACACAGGTGTCAACCTTCTCTGAGATCTTGCTCCGTGATAGGGATGTCCATCGGATCATAATTTTAAATTTGGGTATCTCAATCCCCACTTCTCAGGGACCGCTCCTAGTCACTCCAAGCGGCAACAGGAGGCCAAATTTAGATCATAATTGCAATCATACTTTCTCACTCCCTCCATAATGCTTTTGGAGGTTCGACAGTGTAAAATTGTAAATAAAGCAGCTTAATGTATTGCTATCAGTTATCGCAATGTGCCTTAACATAATATTTTCTTAATGTATTTTGTGGAATATTGTCACATAGATTATCGGCTTTCTTAATTATTAATAAAATAATTCGAAGGAATGCACTCCCAATCTAGGGAACTTATAACATGTCATGATCCCTCACTCCCGCTCCCACTTCCACTCCCAGTTGCAATAACTATACTTACGAAACAACCCACTGATCAAAAGACAATGATGGACATGTAATACATGCCAAAAAATCATCTTTCTAAGATACATTAAATGATAGACTTGGATATCTACCCTAATTTCTGGAAAGCCAGAGTAGCATGATCCAAATTTCATTACACCCCAGCTCATTACACAAGTATGCATTCAATCTTTATAGATTAAGCTCATTTGACAGAAAACATGCGTAGTGATACACCAATTCAACCCAATATCCTGTGCTCTAGATATGTTCAAAAGCTAGTTTTCAATTCTTAAAAGAGGAAAAGGAAGGACTTAACACGGGGGGCTAATTTAGTCACTTGAATAATATTATTTTATACATGTGTGAAGATATTAGAGAGACCCATGCAAACTTAACAGAGATATATTGTAACTACATTCATGCCTCTTTAACCAAAAAAAATTATATGAATGCATCAAAGGAAAATTAATCATGTTATTGCAACTTTGTGTATGCGGAACATGACCTCAACAAAACCACAAGAGTTATTATTCCATCTTTCTATCTCTAGCATTCAACATATACCCAAAAAACACAAACAAGTTTGTGTGTTCCATGCTCAAACATGGACATATATTCTTGTATAACCCACACTGCGAATTACAAAAGGAGATATAAAAAAAAACTATTTGTAAATCGAATATACATTAGTATATTGACTACAAACTGTTAAAAAATAAAACATTTTAACCAGTCTATTGACAAAAGGAACAGTTGCAAGTCAGCACCCAGCGATCCTAGTTGGATGACAATTCCCTAGTTGGCTCACCGGTTCTGGCCCTCGGGAAATGCACATTGAAAGAAAAAAGAAAAACAATATGATATAAAAAAGAAAAATATACCCTGGGGCACAGGAATCTATTCCCGTGTCCTGACAGTGAAGTGGGCAGTTCAAGTGAACTGCCCGGTTCTAGAAAACTGGGCCGATCCCCACTTCAGGTCCAACTCGAACAGGGGCCCAAGGTCCGAGCTGTTAAGAAATAGACAGTCTATCTAACAATAGACTGTCTATCTCTTGACACGAGCCCTCTAGGGCAATTCTACGCTGACTCACCAAATTTTGAATGACTGAATTTTAACAATACATTCCAGGAAACCATATCTCGGGCCAAACAAATAGAGGAATCACATAAGTACCAGTGACTGGAGAAACTGTCTACAACTTTAATTTTCCATTGAAGCAAACTTATCCAAGTTGTTAATTGAACCATCTGCTATAAAATGTATCCAAATACAATGCAAACATTCACCCAAAAGAAACAACTTATTCAGCCACTATAAAATAATAAAAGCTATAATGAACAAGCCATCGTTTCATCAAGCACCCGTCTCCTAAGACAGAAATTAAGCTACATACAAAGAAACCAGAAATAAAAAAATAAGTAAAAAAAAAAACAACATGATTTCAGAATTTCAAACCACTGATCCATCTCAAGATCTGAAGTACTTAAAATATTACAAAAATAAGACATAAAGAAATAATAATTAAATGAAGCCTAGCATAAACAAGTTCACATTCAGCCATTGCATAAGAAAATTAAACGATCAAGAAAACCTAAAAATTAGAGGAAAAATTGAAGGAGAAACAAAAATACTAGGGTTTACAGTTTGTTTCCGGGAACTTCTATCCATTGCAGGAATCAAAATGAAAACTGGAATTATACTAATTATTAATCCGATAATAAAATAAGCGTACCTGCAATCAATAGAGAAGCGATTGAGGAGAAAAAGAGGAGAATTTTGAAAGATCTGTGCCCTAAAATTTCGGTCATGTTCTCTCTCTCTTGTCTAAACACGGCGATTACTTTCTCTCTCCTCTCTTACTTAAAAAAAAAAAACACGAAAAAAAAATGAAATTAGGAATGTTAAAAAGCATTCGTATTTATTGCTAGGAAAAAATTACCAAATATAGCCTTGGTATTTCTTGTGAATAACGAAAATGCTTTCAAGTTTGAAGCATCTTTTCGAAAAAGTGGAAACTGTGGTCCCTGGGACTGTAGAGAAATCATGGTCTGTAGAATCAGGGCCATAGTGGGGGTGATGAAGAGCGATTTTGAGACCCACCAAAATATGTAGGTCTCTCATCATGTTTACCTTCCTTCACTAGATAAGTGAATTATTGACTAATGTCCTCATTAAGTTTCCTTCGCCCATCATTGCTTTGATCTCCAACGCTTATTTTATAGAAATTATAGAAATTTAACAAAATATCAATTAAGGTTCAAACATCATCATTAGTCAAGTTATCTCAATTAACATATGAATGCGGTTTCTATGCGGCCAACCCGCATATTGTAGAAATCTAGGCTTCACAATAAATATATTTTTTAAATATAATTTGATCCTAATTTTTAGAGAATATATAATATTTAAAATGGAGATCATGAATATGAAAAAAATAAAAATAAAAATTAAACACTAAAAATAATAAATATATTAAAAAAACATTTGGACAGTTAGTTACAATTGTTTTTAGATGGACCACCTATTTGCATCCATCTTTATGATGGATACTTTATACCTTTGGAATGCGGTCCAGTCGACATAAAACATTTTTTTTTAACATGTGAGGGAGTTATTTTTTCTTTCTCATTTCACTTAAGTACCTTCTGAAAATAAAATATAAAAAACATAAATTGCCTTTGTTCTTTATTTGAAATTAGGAAAATATTTCAATAATTTAACCCTTTAGAGGCCCCAACCAAATGACACAAATGACCTTAGTTATTCCTCATTATTTAATAAACACATTGTTCAATTCGACCATCAGTTGGACTTGTTTTGATTGAACCAAAGCCCTCACAAATTTGGTAGATGGTGCGGCTCTTATTAATATTAAAAATGAGGAACAACAAGGGGTGTTCCTGTTAGATGCATATAAGGCATTTGGCTGCTAAATGATAAGAATGCCCCAAATAGTTCCTTATTTCTAATACTATGTTCATTGTTTGTAATGAAGAACTACTAAGGGCATTTTTGTTTAATGGTTGGGGCTTCTAAAGGGCCCAGTTATTGACATGCCTCTCAGTGTTCCTCATCCTCAATGTATAACGGTGGCAATCTAAGAATTTTTTAAATTTTTTTGAGGAAATATCTAATTGAAATGAGAAAGAAAAAGTAAATGCTCAAATGTTAATTTGACCCTTTTAATGATCTTTATAAACGGTTTCAATCCCGTAAATAATATTTCCCTATAAATATTTTATTTTATTATTAGAATTCAAATATAGGCTCCTCTATCTTATATTTTACGAGCAAATGATACCTTTTTAGAGTGTATATTATACTATACACATCATATTAAACTCAATATTGGGGTGTCCACACTTCTCACGATCTCGAACATGTAAAAAATACAAGAAAGATCATTTAAAAGAAATAAAATGATAAAAATACCTTTAAATTTTGTAAGGGTATTTTGGATATTTCATTTTATTAAATTATTTTTTTGAAATTTTTGCATTTCCATATTTAAAATTGGCATGGATGCCCAAATTTTGAGCTTAATATGATGTATAAAAATATAAAATAAAATTATGTACACTCAAATAGCGAGACTCGAGCATAAAATTTAAAATATAAGAGACTATTTTTAATTCCAGTGATTAAATGATATTTTTACTTGAATTTCTTTCTTTTCTTTTGCCTTATTCTTTCCCTTTTTTACATATTTAAACTTTAAAATAAAATTAAAAAAAATCATTTTCAACCACTTCATAGAATCTTCGTGGACAATCAACCAACATATCAACAAAGTAATCAAATTAATAATGTCACTTCACTTAAGTATCTCCTGAACTATTTTGCAAAAAAAGCCAAAATGCTCTTATTTTGGATTTACAAGGGTGAACAAGTAGGGATACATTGCTAAGTTAGTCCTATTGATGGCCCAATGGTGTAATGCACCCCATTTGTTATGGGATTAAACTTTAAATATATTGGTCATTAGAATATCTTATTTTTAGTTTAGAACTCGAAACAAGCAAGGGCATTTGAGTTATTTAGCTCTAAGTGGCTCCTGCCAAATGATAAAATTCCCCGACATATGTTTTGGATTCCAAGCTCAGAAGATGCATTTTTTTCACTAGAGTCTCTTGTTCCATGTTTGAAAATTTGAACAAGATATGGCATTTTAATAAATTGGCCTCACTTGTGTCATCATCTAAATTATTGAAAATACCTTGCTTGTTCCAATCCCAGATTAAGGCCGTGGAAAGTATTTTTTAACAAAATAGTTGAGAAGGTGCTTGAGTGAATTGATAAACCACTTTGTTAGTTGATAAATTGATTGATTTAACCAACTTATTGATTTTTTGTGGTGGCTAAACAATTGTATTGATATTTTGGATGAAATGCTGCAAGTGGAGAAGATTTGAAAATGTTATACTAAATTCTACTCGTGTAAATGGTGTACACGGAAATTGGAAGTTTTACTCTATGAGGGGGTGCATACTGTGAATCTACTCCCTAGCTTAAATCTCAATGTAGGAGTATTTTTAGGATGCCAAATCTTGAGGATGTGTTCTTTTTAACCTGGCTTTTAGCTTTCTAAGAAAAATCAAACTCACTCTTGAGGAACCTAGAAAAAAAAATTTCTAAAATTGAGCATCTAATAATTTGTAAGTAGATCATAAAATTTCATGTCGAAAAGATCCCTTAAATAGCTTTCTCACTAGAAGGAATAAATGGACAGTATGCTCCAGCAGGATTACAATGTAGGCAACTTCACATAGAAAATTTTTTCTTATAAGTTACAATGGCCGTTGTTCAAGGAAAAAGTGTGTATAAGATGTCAACTCCAATGGAGAAGGTTGTGCTTATTCTGAAAAACCCTCAAATCGGTGATCTCGACTTCAAGATATGTAGACATCAAAAAAAGTGGGACTTTTAGTACTAAAAATAGTTCAATCTTTCAACATATTATATGGACCATCCATTTTCAATATTTTTTATTGCTTATAGATATGTCAAACTAGCATAGTTTTAAAATACATTTTACAACTTATACAAACCTCACCCGTCGTTCAATCATTTTGAATAATTGCTTTAATTGAAGCAACCTTGTCTGCACATTAAGTCGTAGTTCACACAAAAAAATAAAAGGAAGAATGGTGCACGATAATGGTTAAGACAAAATATGTAACAGTTGGTGCAGATGTCAAGCCTCACAATAACAAGTACGGGCCTGGACTCACAAAATACTTGTCACTTTAGAAAAAATTTACTAAATGAGAAGCCCAAAGAAGCCATCGGCTTTTAAACTTACTAAAAGTATTGCAAATGTAACAATGAAATCATTTCTTAAAAAGAAAATGTTAAGATAAGTGTGATCACAACTAACCGATCATAGGACTGTTAATGAATCTGGCCAATCAAAACCTTTCCAACCACTGGATTTTTTTTTAAAAAAAGAGAGTTCATATATGATAATTTAAAAATATGAAATATATTACATAAAGATTTTGTAAATATTTTCTGACAAATCTAACTCATCAAATGTTAGTTTGGACTGATTTTCAACAAAAATTAGTTTTGGCTCTGGTGACCAAACTAGTAAAGACACTAATCGAACATGGACCACCTATTCTTATGGAAGGTTTAAATCAAAAGATGGTGAGTCTGACCCATTTGGTCACGTTTGTCGATCAGGGGTGGCCGGTCAAGATGCAATTTGGCACATATAATGCCCTACGTGCGTAGAGAGTATGAGTCTCGTTCTCAACTTTCAAATCTAGATACAAAATAATAAAAGTAGCTTGACATTTAAAATTTTTAAATATTCTCATTTGCCCTCTAAGTAGTTAAAAAGTATCATTTTCTTCACTATCTCCACTAAACTATTAACGTTAAATCCTCTTTATTTCAAAATGGGATTGTATACAATGAGACTATTTGCCTTTAATATAGGTCACAATTACTTGCAACTATCCGATGTGAAATCTGATAGCTTGGGTGTGTCACAAAGTTTGAGATTTTTTTTTTGAAGTTTGAGTTTAGTCAATGAAATAAATAGAGCCATCTAATTTCACATCCAACGGTCAAGATTAATTGTGAACATTTTGTATCAAAGATAAATAGTCTCATTGTATACTTTTCCTTTCAAAATTATGGTGAGTTGTTACACAAGTTCAACCATGAAATTGCCAACAACTCATATCCATCTCCTCTAAAAAAATCCCCTATGTTTATCCAAATTTGATCTAAAAGAATAATTTGCTATGAAGAAGAAATAGAAATAAAAAAGGAAAATATCTCCTTGACCCCTATTTTTAAGTTTAATTTCATAATAAATTCAAAGTTTTAAAAGATATCTTGGGGCACAAAAATTGTAGATTTTATTTCTTCTAACCACCTGAACTAATTTAAACATGTTTTTTTAAGCCAAACAAATCTAAAAAAACATACCTTTTATAAAAATCATCCTCCCAAACTTCTAGAGAAAAGGGCTTCATGGAAGTGAGAGTTTACCGGAGGAGAGAGAGAAATAGGTGTTTGAAAAAATACGGGAAGAGAGAGAGAGAGTGAGAGATCAGTAAGAAGAGAGAGAAAGTGAGAAGTTTGAGATATATAAATGAAGAGAGAGAAATGATTAGGTTTAGAAATAACATCTTTCTCACATTTGTTTCGGCTAAAAAATAGGTTTAAAGCGGCTACGGGGTTAGAAGATATCTTTTGAAACATTGGGTTTATCAAGAAATGAAACCTAAAAATAAGAGATGTGGAGATATTTTCTCAAACAAAACATATGTTAATAAAAGTTTAGAAATGAATTTTATATGCTAATTTTGACTGCCAAATATAGAACTTGTGAAATTAGGCTATAAAAGAAAACTCAAAAACAGAGAAAATGAAAAGGTT